AACCAAGCCTGCAACTGGGCATGTGCTCTTGGCCAGAATCGTACCTGGGACCCTTCAGTCCTCAGGCTGACACTCTATCCATTGAGCCAAACCAGCTAGGGTGGGAATACTTCTTTTTATCCTGCTGTGAAGGACCATCATGTTGGCGTTATCATTAGCAGAAGTAGCCACGAATAGAAGAAAACTAAGAAAAAAGGCACCATAAAAGTAAAAAATTAAAATGAGAAATTTGGAGGTGTGGCACTGAAAGAGAAAAACTTATAAGAGCTTCTTAAACTGATCAAAGACAGAACACCACGCATTCTGTGAAAACCAGATTCTGTCTCACACACTCCCCCCATGACGCTGACGAAGCTGCCAGTACGTGGTGGCAAGGCCGTACCTGCTTTCTAGAACAGGAGGAACGTTCTGGGGTTGCTCTGTAGCTTTTTAGTTCCCCACCTGAAGGAGAGGCCAACTGAAATGGGAAAAGCCCGTTAACGTTTTAAGTCCTTAAGCTCCAAGAACTCTGTGACCAAAGGCAGGCTCCCCGCAGAGCCGCTGGGCCATCCGAAGCTGCAGGTGCCTTCCTTGCTTCCCTCTTGGAAATGCCGGGAAGGTGCCCGCCATCTCCGGTCCCTGTGACATGGGGGTGCCCCGGGAAGCTCTGCTTTGCAGACCAGGAGTCGCCCCTGGCTAATGGAGGCCGGGGGAGCCCTCTATCTCTCTCCCTTCCTCTCTGTAGAAAAGATCAATAAAATATATATATTTTTAAAAAACTTTATAAAATTTGGGTTATTTATTTATTTAATCATTCTAAAACAAAGCAATCCTTAATTTCAGGCTAGCTAACTTGCTTTTTTCTTTCTTTCCTTCATTCTTTTCTTCCTTCTTTCCTTCCTTCCTTTCTTTTATTTCATGTAAAGCATGCTGTAGTGATGTATAAACACAGCCAGACACAATCGGATTAGAGATTATTTAACCCTTCAAAAACTCTTAAGTGAAACAAGATTTTACATTGAAGTATTAATTCAATGCTATATTAAATTGTCACTTCAAGCCCCTAAAAAATGAGTGAAACATGATAATAACAGCAATTTCCAAAAGCCAGAGCCCAGGTTCACACTGTCATGTGGAGATATAAATATTTATCTGATGCAGTACATCACTTAGAGTCCTCTCTGCTGAAATCTTCAGTCAGCTGTGAATCTTTTAATGGCTTTTCATTTTGCATGAGAAGAGCAACAAATTGGGGATTCATAATATTTGTTATTCTTGTTCAGTGCCTACAAAGGAAACAGATCTTGTGACTGTTGTATTTTATCTTTTCTTTTTTAATTCTGATTTCACCACATCCATTTACCATTTTATTACAGTTCTAACAAGCCATGGTTATACAGGAAAAAGTAATCAGGAAGATTCATGAAGAGATTGAATTTGCACTTATTGATGACACATGAAATCATTTACACATAGATTTTTGAAAAGACAGAAAGAAGTGAAAATTGGTAGTGCTGGAACACAGGTTACAGACAAAACATTGCCAACGTTGAGAGCACTTCGAACAAAACAGAAGCCATCCTACATAATAAATGACCAGAGACTAGACCACTAATTCCACTTTATTATTTTTGAATTATTTATTTACAAGCTAATTAATGAATTAATAGTGTTTAAGTTATTGAAGGGAAAGTGCTCAGAGTTTTGATCCTAAAAGCAACAAGAGTGAGAAATATAATTTTTCAATGTTTTTATAACATTTACAAAAGATTGCCTGTCTTTATAAACAAATACATACTATGCAACATTATTCATTTTTGAAAAGTCTTTGTTTTAAGAGAGCCCTTGAAATTGGGGGTTTACATTATGCATTTAAAGTGGAATCCATTTCTCAGAGCATTTTAGGAATGTGTAGGGGGTCCTGGCAGCCTTCCTTCCTCGCCCCTTTCCTCTCCACCCCTCACTCCTGGGCCTTGGTTCATCTTGCTCCTTCTTGAGTCATCGGCAGTCCCCCAGTCTCATTTGCTCTTCACGTTCTTTACAAAAACCCTAGATGCCCAGTACTGTTATCACCCTTCTCCTATAAATACGGAGACACGGGAGGTTGACTGAGTCGCCCGGGTCACACAGCCCGTGACTGTGGACCCAGAGAGCTCCCTGCAGCGCGATGTGGCCGAGTCACGTCGAGAGCCCAGCTACAGCTGTGGCCGGGGATCTCACACCTCCCTGGTTGCAGAGTTGCTTCCAACTCCCTTCTTGTGGAAATTCTTATGGTTTTGCCCATGGACTTAGGGTTTGTGCACGGCATTTCCTGAGTCAGCTGTGGGAGAATCTGAGAGGATTAACATTCAAGCCCCTTTGTATCAACAACCACCTGCAAGGACATGTCATCCAGTGTCCCCCCCTTACCCCTGATGTTCACAGACCCAATGGAATTGCCTCACTGCCATGAAAGTGCACCCTTTTCCAGGGCCCCCACCCAGAAATTCAGTCGCTGGGTAGAGTTTTCTTCTGTAACGTTTTGACCTGTAAATGTTTACTAAACCTTTGGCACCAACTACAGCTTGGCACTACTGGAATCTAGTATGGTAGGCTTTGATATGGTTTGTGGTTTTGTACGTATTTATATACCCAGGAGTTACAAGGTTATTAAATCTATTTTTTTTTCAAGGTGGTCATCAAGTCTGATAAAAGAGCCATGCCTTTGAGAATGAGTACACGTAGAAATTTGCTGACATAGTAGTTCAAATTTGTGTATTTTTTTATATGTAGTAATTTATTTAATCTTAAAAGGTAGAGGAGTTGTAGAATGTAATCTGTATGTGTGTTTTTCCTTGGGGGGGCGGGAAGCTTTTCAGTGATTTCCTAGCATTCAGAAGGCCTCTTTAACATACTCATCCACAGGAATTATGGTTAGTATGCACTCTGAATCTGTATAGAGATTTGATCAAAGGCAGGCAGGACTTTTCAAAGATAAACCCTGATGAGAATAATCTGAGCAGAAGAGCACAAAGCAGGGTTAAGTGGCCAAACTGAATCTAGTGTGGGCCTCTCAGAGCCCGCAAAACACCTATACAGGGTTTCCCTCAGAGTAGACACAAGTACCTGTCTGTGAGTCAGCTTGGAGCATAAAGCAACAAGTAGGTATAGCACTAAAGTTTCTTACCAGAGTTTTGAATAAAAACAATAGTTATCATTGCCATCTGCAGTAGGAGGAAGAATATAGTAGAGTCATTGATATAGTATAGGCATTGAGTGGCATAGTTTGATACACTATTATCTGTAACCCTCACAGTAACCTCGAAGTAAAGATTATGGTGTCCACTTTCCAGAAAATGAAACTACAGTGATGAGTGATTTAGTAACTTGCCCGAGATCCACAGCTGGCAAATGGAGGCACCAGGACATGTCACATCTCTCTGGCCCACAAGCCTGTGTTCTTTCCGCTGGGCTCACTGTGCAATGCAGCACGACGGAGGCTCTCGGGTCTCCATGCTCCTGAGGCCCACCCAGCCATCTTCCTCAGAGCTGAGGGGCCACAGCCCGCTGAGTTCTTAGAGCAGAGTGGAGGCCAGGACCTCTTTACCACCTATTTTGTGTTAACAAAACTGAAGTTAATTTACTTTTTTTTTTTAAAAAAAGGAAAGAAGTGGAAAATGTTCCACTGATCTGACTTCAAATTAAGAACAACTTGAGATGAAAGTACTCAGAAAATATGTCAAATTAAAATATGTACAATAGCTCAAGAAAAAAGCGAGAGGAAAAAACTCATGGGCACAGTCAGCAGTGTAAGGATTGCTGGGGGAGGCGGGATGGGGGAGGTAGAGGAGGGAATGGGGGTATAAATGGTGACGGAAGGAGACTTGACTTGAGGTGATGAACACACCATAGAGTGTACAGGTGATGTGCTGTAGAATTGTGGACCTGAAACCTGCATAATTTTGTTAAGCAGTATCACCCTGATAAATTCAATAAAAAGGAAAAAACATTTAAATGTAGCTCAATTATGGTTAGTAAGATTAAAAAAAGAAAAAGGCTAGGAGTATCTCTAAAATGTGCCAAACTCTAGGTGGCAAAAATCTAGCCATACTGATGCTGTTCATCTTTTCTTTAATAATAAAAACTAAGACTAAAACAAAACAAAATAACACTTCTTAAGATGGTTAATATTATCAAGAGTTGATGATAGACAGTGTTTAGCACTAGAAAGTTTGAAAGGGCATTCTAATTCTTAAAATGTTCATTAAAAAGAGATAAATTTAAGCAATGTAATTATAAAAAGGAAAAAAGCAAAGATGACCCATAAGTCATTATCGGGGCTTTGGGGAAGGAAGGTGGAAGCCCTCAGGAGAGTGTAATTTATTTCACTTTGAAGTTCTCACAGAAAGAACCAGTCACTGTTATATCCACGTTTTAACTTTACAAACTAGTATAAATGTTAGGGGAAAAAACATATCTTTGGATATAAAGTTGAAATTTTCATATATATATCTGTAATAATAAAATATGCTAATTAGACTGGATAGCCAAACAACCTTTTAGATGTCATTCTGGACATTTTTCTGGATGAAGTAATGGCAGTGGGGCTGAGGCAGAGGCAGTTAGGGGCATAACTTCTTGCAAGCAGGCAGGCAGGAAGTTAGGGGCGATGAGGCAGGCAGGCAGAGGGGTTGGGGCAATCAGGCCGGCAGGCAGGCAAGCAGTTGGGAGCCAGCCATCCCGGATTGCAAGAGGAACATCTCCCGAGGGGTTCCAGATTGAGAAAGGGTGCAGGCCAGGCTGAGAGAACCATTCCCCTCGTATGAATTTTGTGCACCAAACCTCTAGTGTGTGTGTGTGTGTGTGTTTGACAGATCCTGTATTAAGCAGTATAAACATGGTTATTTTCTATAAATAGGACCTTCATCATTGGAGGGTTACTTCGTATAAACAACCAGAGGCAGAAGAATTACATTTTACATCTGAAAGACCATCTTTTGACTGGATAATTTTTTTTTCCTTTTTCTTTCTCTCCTATGCAGTATATAGTGGAATGTCATGGAATTACCCTTCTTCCCCAGTTCTTGGGCATGTACCGGCTTAATGTTGATGGAGTTGAAATATATGTGATTGTTACAAGAAATGTGTTCAGCCACCGTTTATCTGTATATAGGAAATACGACTTAAAGGTGAGATTCATTTTATTAATTCTTCTTAAGTAATTAAGCTTACTCATCCACATTGTAAATGTTGTAAATGATCATGGGGAACCTTTTTTCTGCCGAGGGCCATCTGGATATTTATAACATTATTCTCGGGCCATGCAAAATTACCAACCTAAAAATTAGCCTGCTATACTTGGTCAAACATTTAACTAACTCACTCCTAATGCCTTGGCAGGGCCAGACCAGTAGATTTTTCAGGCCTTTTATGGCCCTTGAGCTGGACGTTCCCTACCGGTGGAAGGGCTCAGAGCTCAAAGCCACCGGGCAACTGGCAATGCACTTCTTCATGTTAACCAAGGATCACTCGCTGGGTTTACCGGAAGACAATGCACATATTAGAGACACCATGTCTAGTTTATTCAACAAATGTTTATTGAACTCCAGCCACATACCAGGCACTGTTTTTAGATGCCAGGAATAGTGTGATGAACAATACAAAGCAAAACTTCATTCAAGGACCTGACTTTCTGGTTGGTAAAGACAGACAAAAAGTGAAAGTAGTGAGGAAATCACATAGTAAATTAGGAAGTAGTAGGGCTCTGGATAGAAGTAAAGACAGGGAAGAGGGAGAAAGAAGGCAGTTCTAAATAGGGTGTCAGGTAGGTTTCCCTGAGAAGCTGCGTGGAGCAGACCTGAAGGAGGCGAGGGAATGAGCTGAGGGAGAGCATTCCTGGCAGAGGGAACAGCCCAGAGACAAGCGATTTCAAAGACATTGAGTGAGAGGCGACCACTGGAAATGTCCAGGGGAGTGAGATGGTCTGACTTCTCGGATCACTGACTTAGAGGCAGAGTGTCCACATTAGGATTCAGCCACTATGACCTGCCTGCATGGCAAATCCAACTTGGCCATTTCTGTAAACAAAGTTTTATTGGAATATCGCCATGCCCATTGTTTCTGTGTTGGGTGTGGCTGCCTGAGTGCTGCAGTGGCAGAACTGAGCAGTTATCTCAGGAATTGTTTGGGCCCACACAGCCTGGAACATTTACCCTCTCACTCTTTTCAGGAAAAGTTTGCCGAACATTGGCCTTCACCAGTGGACCCCACACTTTTTATCTTAGACTCCTTTACAATCTTAAAAGAGGATCCCCCACCCCCCCAAAAAAATGTGCTTATGTAGGTTATGTCTATTGATATTTGCAGGGTTAGAAATTAATATGAGAAATTTTAAATACTCAGTTTATTTAAAATAATAAAGTAGTTGCATGTTAGCATATTTTTATGAAAAATACAGTATCTTTCAAATAAAAACATTGAGACACGTGGCATTGTTTTACATTTTTGCAAATCTCTTTAATGTCTGGCTTTTATTAAATATGAGGTGGTTGAATGTCTTATCTAGTTCTGTTGTCAGTCTATTGTTATTGAAGTGTATGAAGAAAGTCAGACCTTATGCAAATATGTAATAGGAAAAGGAGAAACGTGAGTCTTAATAACTTTTTCAGAAATTTGTGTATTGTTTTTTGATATTCAAGCATCTGACAAATGGCAATTTGTCAAAGTTTGTGTGGAATGTGGACTCTGCAGTCACATTTGAACTCTCTTCATTTGAAGCCATTGGTCTGTTTGCATGCATTGGTCTGAATACATCATGCTTTGGTCGTTTGGAACGGATCTATACATATAAAAGCCTAAGTGGCCGCCCGCTGACCAGACAATGGCTGTTAGCTATGACATGCACTGACCACCAGGGGGCAGATGCTCAATGTATTATAGGAGCAAAAACCACAGGCATGGAAACATGGAACAGAATGATGAATCTCAGAGGAAAGGGTGGGAAGAGATTAACCAAAGATCTTATATGCATACTAGAGGCCCGTTGCATGGATTCATCCCTCAGCCTGTCCCTCTCACAATCTGGGACACCTCGGGGAATGTTGGAGAGCCGGTTTTGGCCTGATCCTCGCAGGCCAGGCTGAGGGACCCCACCTGTGCATGAATCCCTGCACCGGGCCTCTAGTTTTTACATAAAAGCTGAGATTTTACCACTGGCTACGAAGTACTGTTAGTTGTTTTCTGTGAAGTGACAGCTCACAGTCCCCCTGCATAGCCTGTAGCCCAGAAGCTTCAGTTATCTTAGAACAAATATCTGACAAAATCCAGATATAAATAAATATAGATTGTCAGCTGTTCTTTCAACTAAACATGTTGTTTCATAAAAAACTAGCTAGTTCAACTCATAACTCAAACCATCACAAAAATAACTGTTCTTAAACCATTTCTTTTTTTAAGCAGAAATATATATATATATGTATATATACCTTCCATATAGATTATTAAAAAGATGTATACCGCAGGGTCAATATTTAATAAAAACAAATTTCATTGCTTCTTTAGGACATTTGTGTATTTAGATACAGACACAGACACAGACACAGACACAGACACAGATACAGATATATTATGATAAACTCTACTAGTGCCATGTGGTACCACTGCTGGATTTGTTCTAAGCTGCCAGCAGTTTCACCCACCATTGTTTTTGCAATATTCACACAAATATCAAGACAGTGAGCAAGGCAAATAACACTCATTTATAGGTGTTTCTCTCCTTTTCACATCCAGCGCAGAAAGAGAGCCCGGGTCCAGTTCCTGAGTAGAAGAGCTGGGGATTGAGAAATAAATAAAAGAAAGAGACAGGATACGAAGATAGAAGGAAAAAGCTGGGAGCCGGTTGGGACCACCATCCTCACTGATGGAGGGATAGGGACCCAGAGCCAACGCAGCGTGTTTATTTATATTCCAAATACCAGGGGGCTTCACCAAAAACTTAGGATCGAAGGAGCTTGGTGGGCCCAGGTTCTATTCATTCCCTCATTCCCAGTGTTAGACTGGGCTTACATATCAAAGTGCACTGCCCAACACCTGGGCAACAATAAGAGTCAATGCTGGTAACACCCTTGCCTCTTTGGCAAAGCGTGTTCCCAGGGCGTGGCTTTGCCTTTCGCCGCTGGGTTCAGCTGACAATAATTACAGAATGCCCGTGTGCCTTCCCAAGCTCTGTCTACATCTCATTGTTATTATAAAGGTAGTTTTGACTTTGCAGACCCCCGAGAGAGTCTTGGGACCCCAGAGTGCTGAACCACACATTTTGAGAAATGTTGGTGTAAGGAAGGGAACATTGTCTAGGTTTATCTTCTACCTTCCGGAGTTCAAATGAATAAGGCTTTCCAAATACAGCCTCGGTCTGTCCTGTCTTGAAGTCAAAGCCACTTTGTTCACTGCCGATGCCCCTGGTGGAAACTCCAGCCGCCACCCCGGGCTCTTTGGCACCAGCTCTGTCACGAAGCTCTGTTCACTGATCTGACTCTCCCATGGGAGATGCCAGAGTGACCTAAAGCCACGGGACCTGGTTTTATCACTTGTCAGCTGTGTGCAAGTTGTTGAACCTTTATAAGCCTCGATTTCTTCATCTGTAAAGTGGGGATAATTTTACCTACCTTTGATGGGTTGTTGTGAGGATTAAATGAAATATGTACATGTCAAGTGCAGCATGATGGATAGCATACAGAACTGGTCAATGAATTTTGGTTATCTTACCCATTCTACTAGTCAATAAGTGACTCAAAGGCCAATTTTTTGTCCTATTTGCTTTTTTATCCCCCTGAAATGTCTAAGATAGTGTATCTAGTAAATATATCCTGACGTAAATTATACTTGTAGACTGGATATTGTAGTTTTAACTTGCTTTGGACTCGATATTGTAATTTTAACTTCCATCTCCCTTTTTAGCTTATGGGATGGATGGTTGTATTTTGCCAGTACTTTCCATTGTGATGGGACCTGGACATCTGACATCATTTCATGGCTCTAACTCTTGACCTTAACTTACTGACCTTTTCTATTTTTTGTTTTAGTTTTTTTATTCTGAGTTCATTTAAACTTGGGTGAGATTTTTACAGGCTAACGATCTGCATTTAACACAGAGATGAAGCCTCACGGAGAATCCTGAACAGGGATATCCTGGGGGGGGGGGGGGGGGGGGGGGAGAAAAAACACTGACCAAAAACTCAGTTAAAGATACAAAAAGGAATAAATCCATTTTTCCTCTATCCAGTAGCATAGCAGTGTCCCGCCCCCCCCCCCTTTTTTTCCATTTGGGGTCATTCTTTGTAAGAAATCAGTGAACAAAGGAAGGTACTTGTGGTCCGTATTCAAGGATCCCCGAAGGAACGAATACAGACCGTTGTTAAATGACGGCTGCTGGACTCCGCCCTGCGGGCCTGCGCTCTGGTGTGGAACAGGCCACAGGTTTTCCTTCATGAACGATTCACACTGTCCTCCTTCATTTGGTGGGTCAGTACCCCCCCTCTCCCCCGGCATACCCCCAGGAAACTTCAAGCACTTTCCCTGGGCTGGCAACAGGGTCTCTCAGACCTACCAGGCCCGGGAGTGCTGAGCACCAGGAGGATGGAGACTGGACAGGGGGACACTCCAGCCTGGTCTCCGCTCCCTTCCCCCAAACAGGCGTCTTCTCTGACTGCACCTCCTCACCTGTGAGTTACACATTCTCATCAGTGACTGAGCGGCTTAAATGGGAGATGGTCATGGAGTAAAGGTTTTGATTTTTTTAAAGAATAGCCCATCTAGAAGTTACTTTAATCCCCCCCCCCCCCAACCCCCAGTCACATGTAAGTCTGTTAATGATTGGCTAATGCAAGTATTCCCGGGCAATACGTGGCTGTGAAGGAGGTAGTCAGGCCAGCGAGCAGCTCCCTGTGTAGTTGGGGTGTCCAGTGCTGAGGGGAAGGGAGAGAGGGAACTGGTCTGTGACCTGGTGAGCGCCGAGCACTACTGAGTGAGGCACCGCAGTGGGCACTGGAGAACGCAAAGCTTAAGCAGTTCTGGTTAGGAATTCACTGGCCATTTGTTTCCCAACTTTTCTTTCACTTTAAAATCTCCCACCCTGAGGCATCGATCTGGAAACCAGTGCAGCAGAGGGGAGATTGCTGAGATGAAGGGCTGTGTTTTCTTCCTCTTTATAGCTCTGTGCCCACCCCTGGCCCCTGGCCCAGAAGGGGTGCATGTAGAGGTGTTGTGAAGGGACCTCTGAGGGGAAGGGGGGGGCCGGAACGCACCACAGGGGTCCCACTCAGAGTAACTGAGGAGAGCGTGATCGTCAGTAACTAAAACGGGAGCGAGGCAGTGAGAGGGCGAGGGCGGGCCCACACCTGGAAGACGTGATGCGGGATGAGAGGCATTTGATGCCCCAGCGGTCCCTGCGGCCAGCAGGTGGCCCGCTTCGCCTTTGAATAGCATTACACCAGCCATTTCTGGCCAGAGTTTAGAAAGTGACCGTCCCAGTGATCGCCCGATTTCCAGCAGGGAAACTAGGACCAGGGAGAAGGCAGCACGGGTGACGTGACGGGGAGGGAGGCTCGGAGGGAGTGGGCGGGAACACGTGCAGGCCAGGCAGGGCAGTGGCCAGGCAGGGGCCGGCGCTCCCGCAGGACGAGCTCCAAAGCAGAGTCTGCGCTCATGGATCGGCGTGCTCTGCCCTGGGACGTTCGCGCATTTTAAGCATGACACGCAGGGCCTCTCACGTGCAAGCTTTTATTGTTTCTTTGTGTTTCAGGGCTCTACAGTGGCGAGAGAAGCTAGTGACAAAGAAAAGGTAAGTGCCCGGCCATACCCCTCGCCGTGATCCTCGGGGCGGGCTCGAACTGGACCTCTCATTTCATCCTTCCTCCGACTCCGCCGCGGTGCTTTTCCCGTGTGCACCAGAGAAGCACATTTTGGAACTGGAGTGTGTCACTTCACCCCTCTTCCTCGGATCAGCTGTCCATGCCTCTAGGCTGAATAAGGAAGTGGTTGTTCGTTTCGGTGCAGTGGGAAGAGACAGTTCACGTGCCATGTGGTCTTGCAAACGCTGCCGCCTGCACAGTAACTCATGGCCAGCACCGGCAGGGGCAGCTCAGCAGCAGGGTCCTAAGTCTACACGTGACCACTGAGGAGCCGGGCGTGACCGAGCAGGTTTCTCTGCCTCTGTGCGCCCCAGTTTCTCACCGGTAAAATGCTGGCTTCCATTAGCCTTACACTCCTTTCCAACTGTAAAATGTTAAGATTTGATTCAAGTATTTTTCACTTAAAGAATTAGGCAGGAGACTTTGTCTTTTTATGTTTTCCCTGAGTCACTGGGCAGTAGGAAATTTAAAGTATATTTAGTTTATTATGCAAGATTGTAGACAGATTTAGCGTCAGTCAATTTGATTAAGAATTTGGAAAGTGCTTTGACTGAAATGGACATTGCTTATATGATAGGCATCTCTATACCCTCAGTCATTATTCCTCACCTTGAGAAGTGTCTTTTTCTCTTCTTTTAAATAAACCATCTGAAAGCTGGGGCTCAGGTTTTTGTTTTTGAAATTAAATTCTTTGAGGATGATATAATTCAGTTCTGTTTGAGTTTTATGGATCTGGAAACCTAGTTCATTCAGAAGGTTTGTGAATGTCTCTGTGGTCACTATCCTAGCTTCAGGGGCCGAAATAATGAACTGTGCAGTTACATCTAGCAGGAGCTGTCTTCATAGGAAGTAACAGTGTCATGTGACAAGTACTTCCACAGGAAGCACGCAGCAAGAGCGCCTGACCCCAGCGTGGGGGGGCCAAGAGAGGCTTTCTGGAAGAGGTGGCATGTAGGAAGTTGCAGTGTAAGTAGGAACTAACCAGGGAAAGGCCATCAGAGCAGCATGTGCGTGATGAGAGCGGGTGTGCTTGGTGCGTATTCTGGAGGGTAAGATGCAGCCAGGAAGCTGGGCCAGTGGAGAGGCCGTTGAAATAACCCAGATGCGATGTTGATCGGAGCTAGGACATTGGAATATGATAGGTTACGGAGCGATTTAGGAAAAGAACCCAGAGGTTGAATGTGGGAGGTGAATGGTTCCAGGGAGCGTGTGTGGAGGGAGGGCAGGATGAAGGGCGGCTCCCAGTGTCTGGTTGGGGTAGTTGGGCATTGGTTTCACTGTCTGGGAGAGGGAGCAGAGTGGAAGGAGTGGTTTGAAATGTCTTGTGGCATCAGAACAGAGGTGCCCAATGGGCATGAGAGGCTGCAGAGAGTTTTGACGGGAAGAAATGGCCCGGGAAACCTCATGGGAGGGATGATCAGCAGACAGGGAAGTCAATGAGGTCACTCTGGGCGAGTGTAAGGAGCAGGAGGAGAGGCGTGTCTGGAGCAGGCTCAGGGGGACATCATCATTTATGGCTGATGGATAACGGAAGAGAGACTTGCAAAAGATCAGCTAAAGACATAGGAGATGACCCAGGAAAGTCTGGGTCATCTTCCAAGTATTTATTAAGCATCTGTAATTTTGCCAAGCATTATGAGAGGTGCCTCAGTGAAAACTGACCCCACTCTCATGAAATTTGCACTCTTAATATTGTCCCAGAAGCCAGAGGGAGAGAACTTTCCCAGTATTGGACTTCTGCAAGGTCAGGCAGGACGAGGACTAAGTGATTTATTATTCATTGGACTTGTCAACAGGGAACTCCCTGGCACCCTTCCTTGTCAGTGACAATGGGTGGGTGTAGCAGAAGCTAGATAGCAGTGGGTTAAGAAGAGAGAAGAGAAAATGAAATGGTAGGTCCTTCTTTGACCACTTGTACGTTTACTGTACACTAGTGAATATAATTTTACACTTCCAACCTCCATGTAAATCACTCTGAAGACACCGGCTTTGGCCAAAGAAGCAAAAACAGTGGCGCATGCCTGGTTGTGGGCTCCATCCCCAGTGTGAGGTGTGCAGGAGGCAGCCAATCAGTGATTCTCTCATCACTGATGTTTCTATGTCTCTCTCCCTCTCCCTTCCTCTCTGAAATCTATATATATATATATATAATATATATTTAATACATATGAATCCTATGAAGTATGAAGATGAAGAAAGAAATATTCACTACACTAACAAAAATATTATTTTGGAGTTAAATATGGTACGAACATTCTGAGTCTTGATTTAACAATAAAAAAGTAGTGAAGTAAATTATTTGGTTTCGTACCCTGCTGGCAAAACAGCCCATTCCTATTTCCTCCATTTGTGGAAAGCAGGCATGTTTGTAGCTGCGTCCCACGTCCCTGTAGTTACACTGTGTACATTAAAGTCGCCTGCACAGTCGCCTGGGGAAGAACCGTGCTTTACTTTCCGGGCTTGGAACTCATGAAAGCTCTTCTTGCAGAAGAAGAGGTGCCTCAAACCCCCTCTGTCTTGGGTCATAAGTGCTCCCTGGGAGGGGGCGATAGATAATCTCTGGGAGATACGGGATGTGAGAGTTATTAACATTGGTCATTGATGGAGTGCCTGCAATAGGAGGGGAGGTCTCTTGGAAACGGCAGCCACAATGAGGTAACATTGACTCAACTGCAACACACAAAAACCAATGTATTAATGGCACGGAACACATAAACCCATTGGGTTTTTAAGTCCCGCCCTTCCCCCACCCCAATTTTTGCACCAATGATCAGGTTTTCTCTCCATGATCATTACTTTTTTTAACTTGTCCAGAAATCATGCTATTTTTTGTCTTCACAAATAAAACTAACTTTCATCCCTGTTACCTTAATTAGAAATATTTGGAAGATGGCTAAAAACATTTGTTTTCTACGTGAAACCGAATGATTTGTAAGAATATTATTTCCATTGCTCTCACTGTGTAACCACGTTCTCTACAGAATGATTATCCTGGTGCAGAGAACAATTTTCATAGAGGATCTCCATCAACATCGCTTAACTCATAATCTGGTTCTTTGTTTTTCTTCACTTGACTCATTATAACTGCTTTAATTCCCTATACTTTTATACGCGGTGACAAGTTTTACAACTGTCATTTCAGATACTTAGTGATAGAGCGCAGACAAGCCCCTTCCCTTCGATTTCAGCTTGACATGTAATTAGTATGATTTGCATTAGCATAATAATGAAGGCGAAACTGAAGGAAATAAAGAAGTTATATTCCAACTAAAAATGGGATCACTTTCATGGCAACAAGTATCAGAACATGCATGTACAGATGTCTTGAATTAAAAAAAAAGAAAGAAAGAAAGAGAACGGCATTTTTTCTTCTTTTTTTAAACCGCTTTCAAATTCTGACAGCTGCTATGACTTGCTTTATTCTTTCATTCTTCCCTTTTTAATGGAAGGGCATCTCCCACTCACAGCTCCAGCAGCGTAGCGTCCTCTAAATGAGACAGAGAAATGCGAATCTCCCTGGTGGTCGATCTTTTCACAGCTGCGCTGCAATTCCAGTGTGACATCAAATTAGTAATTATAGCTGAGCGAACTGCTTTTTACCAAATGACAGCCTTAGCGTGCTGCCAGCAAGCAAGCTCCTCAGCGGGAAATCCGGGGAAGTAAAAGAAAACATAACTGGACTCACTTGATTTCTGAGGGATCTGACCTGACTCTTTTAAAAGCCCATGTTCCCGAGAAAGCGAGGCCTGGGGATTTACACAAATATGCATTTTGTCCGTCGTCCTGCACAGTTCTTCTCAAAACTCACGTCTGATGCTATTAGGGAAAGTAAAGGCTGTGTGGCGGAGTCCGAGGGTCCCAAGAAGAAGATTCCCTTTAACATACGTCCTTCTCCCTGGGACCCATCGGAAAGAAAACAGCTGCCCTGCGATTGGCATTTGTATAACGATATTGGCAATAATCACTGTTGACACTTTGGTAATGGGCTACAGCGCGCCGCCTTGTCGATTCTCGGGCACTGTGAATCGCACAGGCAATTAAGTGACCGTCACCCTCGCTGACATTTTACCTATTGCTGACTGAAGGCTCAAGGAGAATTGATTGCTAATACCCTTACACCGAGAGATGCTTTCCTAAAGCAGTGCTCAGCATTTCTTTCGTGATCTTCACATTGTTACACATTCTAATTGATTACTGCCTCTCTCTGGCTCTTCGGGCTGCAGCCATTAGGCAGGCTCGGAGCGCGGGGCCCAGAAGCACAGCCGCCTGTGGCCATCAGCTCAAGAGTGCTTCTTCCTTTTCCCTGTTCGTGGAGGGTCATGGAAAGGGGGGGTGTCCAGGTGTCTAGGCCTGGCCCAGCGGATGCGTTAGCCTTCTGTAAAATTTCTTTTCTTCCGAAGCGGAAGTGAGTCACTTCTGCTGGCCAGCCACTGTGAGGCACCCTCCGCAAGCACCCACCGTGCAGGGGCGCTCTCCCCTCAGAGCAGAGCGGGGCCTGTTCCTCAGACCTCGCGTTAAAGGCAGCTCTGGTCACGTCTGCTCTGTGGCCCACAGATGCTTTATTAGAGGGGGTTTGGGGAGAAAGACTCCAAACGCAGTGTTAGGAACACTGAGTCCTACCCCCTCCCCCGCTCTGCCATTACTGGGAGTTTGGGGGCTTGGGGATAAGTCATTTGACTTAGTCCTCACTTGTAAAATTAAAGGATTCGATGGTATCATTGGACCTCACACTTCCGTGTTTATAAGAACCTCTGGTTTCACATGACACGTCCCCTCCTCCCGGGGTGCCCTTCAGCTGCAGGCTTGACGTGGAGAAGTCCTGGAGCTGGCAGCCACCAAAACCCCGTCTGTGTCAGGTATAGGCTAAGGCAATCGCTGTTATTAATGGAAAAAAGGTTCTGAGCCATCATATTGTGTCAGCAGATGTCTG